CAGCCTGAAGTCTCGACTAAAGGTCTTCAGACCCTCTCAATCTGAGTCTCTAGCGGGCGACTAACCTCCACCGGAGTAAACAGATTGAGGCCTTAACAAACAAAACCTCTACTACCAGAGTAAATCCGGTACAGAATAGTGAGTTGGCTCCTCGACTAAAGTCACCAACTCCCTACCTTCAATCAAGGATGCTCTATTAACCTAGGCAGATATTCTCATTCTAGGTCAAAGCAGAAACAACAGGAATTTGATCAGGATTCAAGTCATTCAATCATTCAAACCTCAATCGAATATAATCAAATCATAGAATCAGTACTTGGGTTCATACAATCAAAGCCTAACATACAAATCTAGGGTTCTCCATACCCAGATGAATGGGAGAACTACTCCATGGAGAAAGAAGCAAAAGCAGTTGCAGACGCGGAATTCATACTGTGAAGGATGGATTCCTGCTCCTGGACGTTGATCGGCACTTCTCCAAGCTCAAACTGGCCTCCAATGGTGTTGAAGATCAAGCTAGGGCACTTGGAGACTCTTGTTCGTCACTTTCTCTCTCTAGGAATCGTTCTATCTCTCTCAAACTCGAATCCCCTTCTGTTTTGGCTGAAATCTGCTTAAAAGGACATCAGTGGCCAAAGCACGATCGAGGGCACGGTCGTGCTTTGCCTCAGCCCGCCCGTGCTTTGGCTAGGGTTAATTACACGGCCATTGTGTTGGGAGAAACATGGCCGTGCTTTAGGGAGGACACGGCCGTGCTTTGGGTGGACACGGCAGTGCTTTCAGCCCGTGTTTGCAGCTTGAATTTGCCAAACTCAATTAGCTCTCGGCAGTAAAAGCACGGCCACAGAACACGGTCGTGTTCTGTTTTAGGTGTGCCCGTGTTTTGGCTCCAGCTCGACGAAACGACTTCCGAATGCCCCGAAACTTGTGCTTAGCCTTTCCTTTGACGCCTGGGACCTGAAATATGACAAAATAGCACAACCCGGCGTAAAAGAGGCCAAAAATACACGACTATGCCCCTCAAACGGATAAGAACTAGGGGCACAAATACGTGCAATTACATCATTATCAAACTCCCCCACACTTAACCGTTTGCTTGTCCCCAAGCAAACCTAACTCAAACCAATGCAGCTCTCCAGACCTCTATAGCAACAAACAACCCAGATCGTAGGTAGAGGACTTCCTAGATCATTTAGCAACTTACGAGGTCAACCGACGCACAAGTCATCTCACAGCTCCTTCGACGAGAGCACTAGTATCGAGTCGGCATCATGGCGAATAGTGAACAGAGGACAAATGAATTGTGGATGAAGAGATTCTCAAAAACAAAGGATCATGGACTCACATTTTTCAAGGTGCTCTATTTTCTTCTTGAAGATGGTTGGAACCCCTTTTTTTCTGTTTTGCTTGTTTTCTGTTATTTTTTTTTCTTTTTTTTCTTTCAAGGGTCCCAACCTGCTCTTACCGGCCATGCCAGGAGCGGATGTCTCGAGCCTCGTGCGGGGGAAAGACATGTAAGGGGGCTGGAGGTAGTAGGTGGAAATTGGGAACGAATTCTCGTCTCCCCTTACACACTTTGGCCCTATTCGCACGGGAGACGTTATTCTAAAGCACATTTTCGAGCACCTGTTAAACTCAAAACATGAAACAAGAGTCCATGACAGGTAGAGAGTCCACAACACCACACAATTCAAAGGTCCTAAGATCACTAATTCACTCAATCAGCCAACACAATATGAAGAAGAAATGAGACTTCTTAAATGCATCAACATCCTCCACAGTGCTACACTACCTCCCTAGGTTGCATATTACTATAAAGACTGTCAATTCAAAGCGGACTGAGCAGGCAATTGCACGGAACACGTACTTGGAGCCCTCAAATTTAAAAATTTGGACAGTGAACTAGGCTCCAAGCACACAAACAGATCTAATGCAGTCAAAAGATAAACATCCCCCCACACTTAAGATCGACATTGCCCTCAATGGAGAAGAGGGAAGGGAAAGGGGAACGATGTTACCGGTATGCACGGACTGCAGGAGACTGGAAGCGGACCAGTCGGAGTGAAGCAGACTGGATAGGACACCAGTCAAGACAAGCACAGCTAAAGGAAACCAAAGAGCTCAAACACGATATGTTAGGTCCAATGGTCAGCCCAATAATACATCATCCAAAACAAAAGAAAACAAACCAAAACCAAACCGGTTTACAATCCGACTACATCAAGTCAATGTTATCATTCCTCAAATAATAAAGTCTAGCCTAACTACTGAGAGTTCTCAATATGAATTCATTGTTTACCTGAAAGAAATTGCTCATTCTGAAAAGCATCCAACAAATTAGATAGACCTAGGAATCGAAAACTTAATAAAGTTATGTCTGCAGCATTTGCAAGTCGTTGCATACCAGTGTGACGACAAAAAGAGATCTGCCTATTGAAATTGCAACTTTAAAATAAGCCTCATAGGAATCAACATCAAAGTGTGCAATTTTGTAGATTCATCCTTGTTGTATAGTTGGTAAGAAGCTAGGAATGTCTAGGCGATGAATGACAGTTTCCATTTATGTTCCCTGCAAGTGTTTTTTAGTCAAAGGCTGAACACTTAGAACCATGTGTTGGTTGAATGATTCATACATGAAATGTGATAATAAATCCAGCATGGAGACAGAATACCAATGCTGTCAGATGGAAATAATGAAGTATATATGCACGTACTAACCTCATTATCTAGCAACAACATGTGTAGGAAAAGCGTTTCATTGGTGCCATCAAACATAGTCCTCCATAACCGCAGAATTCTTACCCAAACAGACCATTGTTGTCCGTAGAAAACCTGTAAATCACGTAAGGACTGGAACACCATGTTTTGTATTGGAGTTTAAAGGAGCAAGCTCGGTAGGTTATTTTGGGCTCAGAAACTAGTGAATGGGAGTGGAAAAGGTAAGATGTATGTTATGGATCTTAGTTAACCAAAATAATTTGGAGTAGGATGAGATAATAATGAACCTAAAAGTTGAGTGGGGTGCAATTAAATGAGGGAAATAAAAATGGGTTGAATGAGGTGTGTGATTAGTGATATGATCCAAATTCTTTCTCATTTTATTGCTTTTTGATAGTTTGTTTGATCTCTACTTCTTGAAGTTCAGAGTTCCCACTTTTTTATAATAATAAAAAAAACACATACTAATGAAATTATTCTTATTCTCTTCTTTATCAACATGTGCTATTGTGAGAGGCTCACATCTCATGCTCTAATTAGTAATTGGTGAAACATTGAATAATCAATGAGTGCTAATGGAAAATTCTTAGCTCCAACCTTGGTTGGACGCAGAAGTTCCAACCAGCCACATGTTAGTTTCCTATTGGTGAGTTCATCTTTCTTTTTTATATTTTAATTCTTGATTTATTTAGCATAATGAAGAACATTAAACATTACGAGAAAATGAAGGTGAGTTCTCCAACAACAAAAGGGTTTCATCGGTGCCAGCAAACATAGTCCTCCATAACCGCAGAATTTTGACCCGAACAGACCATTGTTGTCCGTAGGAAACCTGTAACTCAGGTAAGGACTAGAACACCATGTTTTGTATTGAGTTTAAAGGAGCAAGCTCGGTAGGTTAATTCTTGATTATTTAGCATAATTAAGAACATTACACATTAAGAGAAAAAAGAAGGTGAGTCCACCAATAACAAAGGGTTTCATCGGTGCCAGCAAACATAGTCCTCCATAACCACAGAATTCTGACCCGAACAGATCATTGTTGGCCGTAGGAAACCTGTAACTCACGTAAGGATTAGAACACAGTGTTTTGTAATGGAGTTTAAAGGAGCAAGCTCGGTAGGTTATTCTGAGCTCAGAAACCAGTGAATGTGAGTGGAACATTAAACATTAAGAGAAAAAGAAGGTGAGTCCACCAATAACAAAAGGGTTTCATCGGTTCCAGCAAATATAGTCCTCCATAACCGCAAAATTCTGACGCGAATATACCATTGTTGTCCGTAGGAAACCTATAAGCTAAATGTAACATTTTGCACAATATTTAATGGTGAATTGAAGTCTAGTTTTCGTAAAAATAAAAAGAAGATAGAAGTGTAGTTTGTATAAGAGGTAAGTAGTTAGAAAAAGTAAATAACAACAAATGTCACATAGATTTCAGTTCAGATGCAAGTTAGGCTCCAAGATTAAACAATTAAAGGTTAGGAGTTTGTTACACGTTATTTGGCTAAAACTACTAGTCATGCTAATTTGAAAGAAAAAAAATGATCGATCCCTTCGAGAACATCCAATCATATAATCATTACATTATCATTGTTAGAACGAAATTCCATCGTTGCAAAGAAATGTAAAGTCGGCTGGTTGGTCATTACGTACCTTATTATGTTGTAACGAGATTCCACCACTAGAAATGTTTCGATATTGAACAAGAACATGAAAAAATCTCTTAACTCGAGTTAATATCAACATGATTCATGATGGAAATGGTTGATCGAGCTAACCAAAAGTTGTTGAGGTGTACACATGGCGTCTTGAAATTGGTCGACCCGCAAATTAAGAGGTCGATGTGTTCAACAAAACGGTCAACCATTTTTGTGATACGAATGACCTACATATTCTCTGCTACTGGGTCGACCGATTGAATCTCGCAATCGAACATTATAAACCACGCAAATCAATCACATCATAAATCACTACGCGGATCAACCACACCAGTCGATCGAATTTGTTAGCCATACTCAAAAGTACCATAACTTGAGGTCTCTTCACAAATTCACCAAAAACATATATACCCGTACGTAGTTTAAATACAGTTTTGTAAATTTTCCCTTAATTACTACTTAACAGCGAATACAAAAGTGTAATATTCCCACTCCCAGTCCCACAATCAATCCACAAGACCACAACCCAGCACGTGCATATTCGACCAATTGTGATGGCCTCGTCACAAACAAGACAAAAAACACCAATATAAAGAGAAATCAAAACAAACGTTCATCCACAATAATACTACACTGAATAATGCCATACAAAAATTATCCAAGAACACAACCCTTCTGTGGCTCTCCTTTCTAGTTCCCATTCCCCTCCACCACGCTATCTAGCCACCACTAGCCATTAGCACCAATTTCCCCGACCTCTATCTCTCTCTTTCTTCCCCACGACGTCCAATTCCCCCCAGTACTCGCCAAACCATGAGCGACCCCGTCGACAAGCTGGTCACCTTCCTCGCCAAAAGAGACGGCATCGACAAGCTGGTCAAGACCTTCCAGTACGTCTCCAAGCTGGTCCACTACCACGTGGAGCCCACCCGCCCGGACCTCGCGGGCCGCTTCAAGCAATGGGAGGTCGCCTCGGGCCTCAGCAGGAAGGCCTTCCGCACGGGCCGGTTCCTGACCGGGTTCAACGCCCTCCGCAGGAACCCCGGCCCGTCCGAAACGTTCAGGCTGCTGGCCGTCCTGGCCAACGCCGGGGAAATGGTTTACTTCTTCTTTGACCACTTCCTCTGGCTGTCAAGGATCGGCGTGCTGGAGGCCAGGCTGGCACGCCGGATGAGCTTCGTTTCGGCTTTCGGCGAGTCGTTTGGGTACGTGTTCTTCATCGTCGGGGACTTGATACTGATCAAGGATGGGGTGAGGAAGGAGAGGGAGCTTCGGAAGAGAAAGGGAGGTGACGAAACGGCGTCGTTGGAGGAGGGAATCGGGAAGATAAGAGCGGATAGGGTGATGCGGCTGATGGGTGTGGCGGCGAACGTGGCGGACTTGTTTATTGCGCTGGCGGATATTGAGCCCAACCCGTTCTGTAACCATACGGTTACGCTTGGGATTAGTGGGCTGGTCTCGGCTTGGGCCGGGTGGTACAGAAATTGGCCTTCGTAAGGGGAACGAGGTCAATTTGTGCATATGTATTTGAGTCTTCACTCTTGATGGATGGGGAGAATGGGAAAATGTGAGGAGAAAAAACTTAGATCATAAGGCATGTTGTAATAGCTTTGCAGCTTGAAGATATGAGACTCTCGTTCATCACAAACAATGCAGTCAAAATCGCGCTTTAAAATTTAAAAGTTTACGTTTTTACGATTTTGGATCACCAAAACACTTCTATGTAGAATCGTGATTTTCCCTTACAAATGTAGTTAAAATCTACGTTTTAAAACTTAAAAGCTTACGATTTTACGCTTCTAGGTCACCCAACCACCTCTAGATAAAATCGCGCTTTTAACTGCATTGATCACAAAAGGTCTACTTTTGATGTTATAAAAGCTCATGAATTTTCGCATTGCTGTTTACCACTTCATCCACGGATTTTGTGCAAGTCAACTCTCAATCATTCAATAAACACATATCAGATACTTCTGCTCTAAAAAAAAACACATCTCGTGGAAGCTAGCTTGTGCAAATGCAATCTAATGAGTTGCACTCATCCTTTTGTCCCAAGTCACGACAACGCTCGTTTTACGATCAACCAAAAAATGTATCATGTTTTCCTAAATCTCTATACCACTCTTGTATGTGATCCTTATACCATATTTGTATAAACATGACAAGACTACACAAAGGTATAAAAAAGTGCATGTGTAGATCACATGTAAAAAATTATAAAAATAAATTCAATTTCTTCATTGTCCCAAGTGTTGAGCATGTCATCGACTAAAACATCTAGATTCTAGACAACATTTACAAGTCCATCTCAAATAAAAAAGTAAACATCATATTGTGTAACATAATCTACAACTATAACTCGAATAAAAACTGGCGTAGCAAATTAAGTTTTTCTCGTTCTACATAAAACAATTTTCATTTTGTTATTCCGTATCTGTTGGAAGATGAAGGTCGAGTATGCAGCTGTTGGAAGAATCTGAATCCTTTCAGGAGAAGGATTGAAGAAGGCGCCAAAGTTTCAAATATCAATAAGTGGAACGACAACGTTCTGAGTAATAGAGTCTGTGTCTGTCGAAGTGGTTTATTACCAGTTAAGTCCTAGAGTTGTTCTTTGTGTTAGTTGAGTCTTGTTAGTGGTTGTGTTAGTTGAGAGATTGCAGGAGAGAAGCAGATCATGGCTGCTGAAGTTCAGGACTAGTGAGTTAGTTGTTAGAGGTGTGGAGGCCGAATTACAAGGCTGAAACAAACAGTATTTATGTTCTCTTTATCATTTCAATAAGACTTGTCAGATTGCAAGTACATTCGAGTTAACATTGTGGTATCAGAGCTCGAGCAAGCTGTAACCAAAAGCTTTCAAGCAAACTTTAGAGATTAAGGTGAGTGAGATTCTGCTGTCAACTGCAGATTGGGTTTGGGAAACACGAGAGACCTGTGAGGTATTATCAAATACCGGGTGAGTGAAGATATGCTATCAAGTAGATCAAGAGTGTGACTGTCAAGATGAGTGAATCAGGAAGCTTTGCTCAGGTAGGTCTCCCAAGATTTGATGGTGATTATGATCACTGGAGCCTCTTGATGGAGAACCTGTTTCATTCCAAAGAGTATTAGAACGTTGCGCAACATGGATTCAGTGAAAAAGGTGGAGAGATGTCTGATGCTGAGACAAAAGCTATAGAGGACCGGAAGTTGAAGGATCTGAAAGCTAAGAACTACCTCTTCAGCTCCATCGACAAAACCATTCTCAAGACCATCTCCAAGAAAGGTACTGCTAAAGATCTCTGGGATTCTATGAAAGTCAAATATCAGGGCAATGCTAGGGTTCAGAAATCGAATCTGTAGGCTCTCAGAAGGAATTTTGAGATACTAGAAATGAAGGAAGGAGAGTCTGTTAATAGCTATTTCAGCAGGGTTATGACTATAGCTAATGCCATGAGGAACTGTGGGGATGAGATGCCTGATGTCCAGATTGTTAAAAAGATCCTTAGGACTCTAACTGATAAGTTCAACTTTGTGGTTTGTTCCATAGAAGAGTCCAAGAACACTGAAGAGCTGTCTGTTGATGCTCTTCAGAGTTCTCTTCTGGTTCATGAACAGAAGTTTACAAAGAGGCAGGCTGCAGATGAGGATCAAGTACTCAGGACATCACATGATTTTGGTGGCAGGGGAGGAAGAGGTCAAGGAAGAGGTGTGTCCCCTGGTAGAGGAAGGGGTCGAGGTAGAAACTGGAATAGAGAATCTGTGGAATGTTATAAATTTCATAGACTGGGACACTACAGAAATGAGTGTCCAAAATGGTACAACAACTAGCAAGCTCAATATTCCAGTTCAAGCTATATACAAGATAATCAGTCCTATGGAGATATGAAGGATGATATGTTGCTGATGGCCAGGGTTGAATATCTGGTTGATGAAGAGGAAGAGAAGGAAGTTGGTTGCTTCATGGCTTTTGTGCAAGAACCATCTGATACTCAGAATCCAGATTGGTGGTTTCTTGACTCAGGCTGCTCCAATCATATGACTGGAGAACAAAAGTGGTTTACTGAGATGGATTCTAACTTTACCTGCAATGTTAGACTGGGAAGCAACTCAAAACTGAGTGTGGCTGGGAAAGGAAGTGTGAGGTTGGTTGTCAATCAACTTTCTGTAATTGTGCAGGATGTGTTCTATGTTCCAGGACTGAGAACAAACTTACTGAGTGTGGGCCAATGGCAAGAGAAAGGTCTGTCTTTCTTAATCAAGGATGGTAGCTGCAAGATATATCATCCTGAGAAAGGATTAATGTTGGAGACTGAGATGAAATCGAACGGGATGTTTGTCCTGCACACTTCTGCAGGTTTCAAGAATCCATCCAGAGACATTCAGTGTCTGCAAACTGGAACAAAAACAGCCAGCTCTACCTTGAACCTGTGGCATAGAATATTTGGGCACATAAAAACCCAAAGCTTGCACCATCTACAACAGAAGAATCTGGTTCAGGGACTTCCCCAATTGAAAGGGGATAATGAAGTCTGCTCAACTTGTTTAGTTGGGAAGCAACATAGACAAACGTTTCTGAAGAAGAGCTAGTGGAGAGCTTCCAACAAGCTTCAATTAGTCCATGCAGATCTCTGTGGTCCTCTAACATCAGCTTCCAACAGTGGTAAAAGGTACATCTTCACCTTGACTAATGACTATAGTAGAAAATTGTGGGTGTATTTCTTGTCTGCTAAATCTGAGACCCTGGACTGGTTCAAAAAGTATAAAGCACAAGTAGAGAAAGAGACTGGTATGTCAATTGTAAGTCTCAGAACAGACAGGGGAGGGGAATTCATGCTAAGAGAATTCAAAGATCTCTGTGATGAAGCTGGTATAAGAAGACAGCTAACTGCAGATCTCACACCTCAACAGAATGGGGTGGCTGAGAGGAAAAATAGAACTGTGATGAATATGGTACGATGTATGTTGCAAGATACAAGGGTTCATGTGGTTTTTTGGGCTGAAGCTGTTACTTGGGCCACCCATGTACTCAACATGAGTCCCATTTCAGCTAACCATGGTAAAACAACACAAGAATTATGGACTGGTGGCATTCCATCAGTTCTTCATTTTAGAATCTTTGGTTGTGTGGCCTATGTTCACATTCCATATCAAAAGAGAAAGAAGCTAGATGATAAGAGCTCTAAGTACTACTTTCTTGGGATATCCAGTGAGTCAAAGGCATACAGACTTTACAATCCACTCACAAAGAAAGTAGTGGTGAGTAGGGATGTGGTCTTTAATGAACTGGAAGGCTAGAGTAACATTACAGAAGACTCTCCAGCGCTACAGCAACTGATCTGGGATGGATGTGAAGATGATTAGGGTGATTCTGATGCAGAAGTGGAGGAACAAGTTGAAATAGAAGGGAGTACAGCAGCACCAACTGATGATGAAACAAGTCAACCACCAAGTCCAAAGACACCAGAAGAACCAGAAACTGTCATTAACATAGATGGAGAGGGCTCTGGATCTCAAACTGATGTGCTGGGATTACCACCTAGATCCAAACATCCACAATCTCATCTCTCCATATATGAATGCAGCTTTGCAGACACAGACTGGTTGGTCATGTCATGGTGACAGTAGCTGATGATCCTCAGACCTTTGAGGAAGCAAACAAAGATCTAAGGTGGAGAGCAGCAATGAACCAAGAGTTTGATTCGATTGAAAGGAACAGAACTTGGGATCTGGGTGAACTTCCTGAAGGTGCAGTGACAATTGGCTGTAAATGGCTGGATAAGCAAAAGGCCAGATTAGTGGCCAAGGGTTTTGCACAGAAGCAAGACATTGATTACACAGAGGTTTTTGCCCCAGTAGCCAGATGGGACACCATCAGAACTATCTTGGCCTTAGCTGCACATCATGGCCTAGTGGTATACCAGCTAGATGTCAAAAGTGCTTTCCTACATGGCGAGCTTACTGAAGATGTATACCTAGAGCAACCTCAAGGTTTTGAAGTTGCTGGGGAGGAGCATAAGGTATACAAACTCAGGAAAGCTGTCTATGGTCCGAAGCAAGCCCCCAGGGCTTGGTATAGTAGGATTGAGTCCTGTTTTATGAAATCTGGGTTTGAAAGGTGTCCTCATGAACACACCTTGTTTGTCAAGAGGGGTGGAAGTGGTTTTTTGATTGTGAGTCTGTATGTTGATGACATATTGTACACCAGCAATAATCAGGATATGATTATGGAAGCTGAATTTGAAATGACCGATCTTGGAAGAATGAGGTATTTTCTGGGCATATAAGTAAATCAAACTGAAAGTGGAATATGTCTGTGTCAACAGAAATACATCAAGGATCTGTTGGAAAAGTTCAAGCTCTCTGATTGCAACTTTGTAACCAATCCAATCACACCTGGAATCAAACTGTCTAAGGATGGAGATGGAGTGCCTGTCAATCCAACTGAGTACAAGCAGTTGATTGGAAGTCTCTTGTATGTTACTGCCACAAGACTAGAAGTGATGTATTCAGTTTGTCTGTTAAGCAGGTTTATGGAGTCTCCTACAAGGCAACACATGCTTGCTGCAAAAAGGGTGCTGAGATATTTAAAGGGTTCAACCAGTCTTGGAATTTGGTACAACAAGGGAGATGGGGAGGATCAGCTCCTTGGTTACACAAACAGTGATTATGCAGGGGATGCTGATGATAGAAGGAGTACAAGTGGATATGCTTTCTTCCTTGCTGGTGGGGCCATATCCTGGGCCTCAAAGAAGCAACCCATAGTAACTCTTTCTACGACTGAAGCTGAATATGTTGTTGCTGCCTATTGCGTGGCTCATTGTGTGTGGCTGAAGAAGGTACTTGAAAGTATTGGATGGGGTGCTGCTGTTGCTGGGAAAACAGTCATATTGTGTGACAACAGCTCTGCAATTAAGTTGTCAAGAAATTCGGTATTGCATGGGAGGAGCAAGCACATTGACGTCAGGTTCCATTTTATCCGGGATCTTGTGAAAAATGGAGAGGTGGATCTGGAGCATTGTGACACCAAAGAGCAGGTTGCATACATCATGACTAAACCTCTAAAGCTGGAATCTTTTCAGCTATTGAGAAGCAAGCTTGGTGTGTGTGATCTTGCAGAAGTCGTCAAAACAGACTGAAGGTATGAACTGAAGCTGGAGAATCGAAGGGCTTCAGTTCAGGGGAGGATTTGTTGGAAGATGAAGGTCGAGTCTGCAGCTGCTGGAAGAATCCGAATCCTTTCAGGAGAAGGATTGAAGAAGGCGCCAAAGTTTCAAATATCAATAAGTGGAACGACAACGTTCTGAGTAATAGATTATGTGTCTATCGAAGTGGTTTATTACCAGTTAAGTCCTAGAGTTGTTCTTTGTGTTAGTTGAGTCCTATTAGTGGTTGTGTTAGTTGAGAGATTGCAGGAGAGAAGCAGATCATGGCTGCTAAAGTTCAGGAGTAGTGAGTTAGTTGTTAGAGGTGTGGAGGCCGAATTACAAGGCTGAAAGCCTAAAACAAACAGTATTTATGTTCTCTTTATCATTTCAATAAGACTTGTCAGATTGCAAGTACATTCGAGTTAACAGTATCATGATTTTGTGATAAAATATGCAACCCCTGGATTTCTTCATGATGGAGTTTGTTTGAAAAATAATGTTTTCGGGTAGCGGGCTACTATTTCGCATGGTCCATGAAACCGTACCGGAGGTCGTATCGAAAAAGTCAGTGGTAATGTATTTTATGGCAAAACCGTGGTTTAACTGTAGGTAAACCGTTAGTACAATTATATACTGCCTACCGGTTTAGCCACCAATACTGATTTTTTGTGGTTGAACCGTTAGTACAATATGGACCATGCTATTTCGGCCTCGAACGCACCGGACGCACGGTTATTAACGTTGGCGGTTGGCGTCGAACGCACCGGCTAGCCCCGAACCGAATGACTTGCCTTGGCTGTGTCATAAACCTGGGTTAAAGATTTAAAAAAACCACAATAGGGTGAGTAGACTCCCCACGAGATTGACCTCTCGCCAACGCCCAATTTCTCTCGTCCAGTTTCTGGATCTTCGCCGAGATCCTCACCATTACCTCGTTAGATTCTGCGCATCCGATCTCATTCGCCCTTGCTCCTTGCATTTCGGATCTGCCCGGTTTACACCCTACACCAGCCGGAATTCCTTCTCCCTGCGGCAATCTGGGGTTTTCCGGAGATGGCGGAAGCAGGCACGAATTCGCGGTATGTCAAGCTCACTAAAGAACAAGCCCCACTCGAGATTAATCCCGGCGAGCTCAATCAGCCAATCGATGTCCCTCAGGTTCGGAATTCTTTCCCCTCCTTTCTTTTGACGTAATCGGAGCGCAGTTTGTCCCATTTGCCCTGAAATTCGTGTTTGCGGCGTCGTCCGTCTGAGATCTTGTCGTTAACTGGCGGTTAAATGCGTGGCAGCTGACTGTTCACAAGTGTAATGAGTGTGGGCAGCCGTTGCCGGAAGACTTTGCGCCGCCGGCCGACGAGCCTTGGAGTACTGGGATCTTTGGATGTGCTGAAGATTCTGAAAGCTGTAAGTTTTGTGCTGACCCTAATGCTCTGATATCATTCATGTATCAAGCAAGATTCCGTTGTGAGATCTTGTGATGGCAAACGTGCAATTGATGTCTATTCCCTTGATGCCTGTTCTATTGCGATTGTTTTTTATGTCGAAGGGTAAATGGCCTTGAGAGTAAGGGGAAACGCAGTTCCACAATTTGTATAAGAATGCTGTGATTAGTATAGGATCTCCTCCGTTACGTCGAGAATTGAGATGTTTATCATGGATGCCAGAGTACTGAGTGATGCTGTTGTTTTTCTGTTATGGCTATTCTGCAGGCTGGACAGGGCTATTCTGCCCCTGTGTCCTGTTTGGGCGGAATGTTGAGAATATGCGAGATGATACACCATGGACTACACCATGCCTCTGTCACGCCGTCTGCATCGAGGGTGGTATTGCGCTAGCTGCAGTGACGGCACTCTCCCATGGTGTTATAATGGATCCAAATACATCGTTCCTTGTATGCGAGGGTCTGTTGTTCGCTTGGTGGATGTGTGGCATTTACACTGGTATCGTTAGGCAGTCTTTGCAGAAGAAGTATCATCTGAAGGTAATTCTTCGGACATCTGGGTTTTGTTGTGTCTTTTCTTGTGGCCAACTTGATCGTTGGACCCTGGCTTTGTTCATTTGCAAAGCAATTGCACTATTATATGTTGGGAGCACTATGAGTTCTGTTGGGTTATTCTGACTGGTGATCTGTCTGCTATTTGCATTGTCCTGTAAACAAAGCTCTTTCAGGAGATTTTAACTTGTAAGACCTTGGAGTTCTAGTTTGCGTTTCAGCTCATCTAGAACCCATAGTTATGTTGTTTCTCGAGTCATTTGTGATGAACTTTCTGGTATCTCCTTGACGTTGGAGAAGCTTCTTCCTATTAACTCGTCATGTTTAGACCACTTGAATTTCTAGCATGTCGCCAGCACCAAATTTGCCTTGGTGTATCGATCAGTGGCTCTGAGCCAGCAATATGCCTTTGCTCAGCAATTTTATAATCCTGTCCTTTAAGCGGAACTCCCTGAATGCCCTATGAACTTAAAGCATCTAAGAAGATGGACCTTGTATTCTTATGACTAATGTCTCTCAATGGTTTGCAGAACGCTCCATGCGACCCGTGCATGGTGCACTGCTGCATGCACTGGTGCGCTCTCTGCCAGGAGCACAGGGAGATGAAAGGACGCCTCTCGGATAACTTCGTCATGCCAATGACCATCGTCAACCCCCCTCCGCTCCAAGAGATGTCAGTCACAGAGACCTCTACCACCGCAAACCATGACCGTCCTGCTCCATCTTCGTCAGATAAGGGCTCCTCTCAGCTGGAGATGCAGGCTCTATAGTCATTAGTGAAACAACAGACAGTCATGGCGAGATTATTGTTCATTATCGGCCTGGATTTCGCTTTAGAACAAATCATACTTAACTTTATACTTGTTTATTGCCCTTGATGGCACCCTTTTGTAGAGTGAGCTTGGTAGTTCTTAGAAACGATTATTCCCCACCGTCGAGAGAAAGTTCATCTATGACATTGATGAATTTACAGGATCATTGATTGAGGTAGCAATGGCCGGCTGGGAGCCGGGTGCATATGGTTGAATCAATCAGGGCGCACTCAGTGCTGGCGAAACTGGTGTAACGTGAGGGGTCCTCCGAATGATTTGGGACCAGAAAAATATGAGTCGGGGGAAGAAGTGGGAATTTGATGCATTTGCACTTTGCAGTTACCAGGGTCAAAAAGTTTGAGCCGCATCCATCCACCCAGCTACGTTTCCCATATTAAATCACTGAATTGTCTATCCTTCGGATACATAAATGCAAAGTTTGGTCACTAGGATTATGACTGGGATTATGGATAGTTATAATAAATGGTCACAAACCTATTCACTTTGTACAAAACGGTTACAATTCTTTAATTTTGCATGTTTTGGTAAAACAAGTTTGAGTGAATAACGAATTGGTCAATCCGTCCACGTCATTAAAAATATTAATAAAAAATTATTAATAATCCAAATTAACCCGTACAATCCAACCGGGCGTACCCTAATGCCCACCCTTTACCGAACTGGAGGAAGTCGGCCACAAAGTGACTTAGGGGCGATTCGTCTTCCATCCTCTTCATCGCCAGCAACCAGTCCCACCAAATCATCTGCCAACCTCTCCCAAAACTTTCACTTATGGTCGGATCGTCCTGATTGATAAAGGATGGCGGCAAACTCACGGTGTTGAACGTCGGTGACTATCGCTCCGTGATGAGCAAGGGAGGAGTCGCGGAGGCGTTCACTTCCGATCATCAAGCTTCTCGCCCAAAAGAGAAGGAGATAATCGAGGCCCTTGGCGGTTATGTGGATTGTTGCAAGGGTGTTTGGCAGATTTAGGGGTTTCTTGCTGTGTGGAGAGGGATCAGAGATGCGCATCTTAAGGAGTTTGTGGAGTATATTGAGGACATGGTGAAAAGGAACCAAGAGAAACTTGCCCGGGAAGAGGAGTGGGAGAAGCGTGAGATGGATGGAATCATGGAATCAACCATGAACTCCAACTCCAGGCCGACCAGCAAGCCATGGCCAACTACCGCCAAGCCTCCATAATCATGTTCCTCGAAAATTTCATCACCACCCCCACTAATGTTGTGACTAATTCTGCTCCACTACCGCTGTAGATAATTGATTACCAGATCAAAATTGCGACCGCGTGGCGACAGGGACGACAATAGTAATCGGAGTTCAACTTCGTCGTTCTCCTATGCTGCAAACCCTAACAATACATCGTCTGCCGCCGAACTTTCCCAATTAGAGCATGTCGCAGTAATGGTCGTTGGTACGAATGATCGGAGCATCTCGAAACCCTAGAAAATTTGTCGTTGCCGGCGGATCGGAGGAAAATCGAGGGAGAAGCTTGGCGAAGGAGGAGGTGGGAAAGAGGTGGCCGAGAGAGAATATGTCGATGACTTTCTCCAATTCGGGAAGGGTTGGGTATTAGGTCACGACCGGTTGGGTTGGGCTGGGCAGGTTAATTGAGATGATTAACTGATTTTTTATTAATATTAATGACGTGTCATGCTGACTGTGCAAAAGGTAACGGAGAATTGGACGGAAATGGACGGATTGACTAATTCGTTAGCCACTTAAACTTGTTTTATCAAAACGTGCAAAATTAAAAAATTGTGACCGTTTTGTACAAAGTGAATAGGTTTGTGACCATTTATGATAATTACCCCTGAGATTACTAAAATGTATCATGTTTAGTCACTGAAAAAAATTAATATCAACGATGGTCACTCGAATTAGTAAAACGGTCCATGTTTAGTCACTCTCCGTTAGTCTTCGTTAGTTTTTGTTAACACCGTCAGTCAATTGCTTATGTGCTAGCTGAAGTGCCGACTCACAATTTTTTAACCCACCACATCACTCAACCCAATACAAACCCTAACCCAACCCAAATAAATCATGATCTTGACCCTTTCTGCCTCTCTCATCCTTCTCTGCCTAATCCACCTTCTGCTTCTCCCTCTCTTCCTCCATCGAAGAAACCAGAATCAAAGAACCCAGAACTCAATTTGCATCCTCCAACGTCGTTCCCGAGGTACCCAACTATCACATCTGCTTCATGGAGCTATAGATCTCCTCTACAATGTTGCCAAAGGCAGTCATGGAGGGAGGAGGCAGCACGGCGGTCAGAGCCATAGTTAGCGACGCTCCTGTCTCTTTCACTAAAATCAGAGCCTTGCTTTCCCCCTCTAATGGCAGTTTCTTAATCATAACCCATTTCTCAACTCCCCACCCACCAATACTCCCCCTTTAATCCGTAGTCAGTGGACATGAAAACGAGGAGCATGAGATCTGGTTTTGGTTGTAGGCGATGCAGGCTCCTTTCTTTAAGAACCAAAAAATGCCTTGCCTCTGTTCGTGGATATGAGGTTGAAGCAACTGACGCGAGCTGCGGCAAGAGGATGGGGAGAGGGTTGATATCAATGTGATGGCTTGTACGATCGGATCTACCGGTGCTCGAGGGATGCAGTGATTTGAGATATGCTCCTCTTTGAAGATCCAGTTGATTCTCGTCTTTTTCTTTCGCTTCTCTACGAAGCTTAGGGATGTAGTGATTTGAGATATGTTCCTCTTCCTCACGGCTATGGTTTCCTGGTCTCCTCGTCTCTCTGCTTCTTTTGGGCTGTCGCGAAGGTTTTTCGATCTAGAAAAATGAAAGACTGCGATGATTTTCTGTTGTTGGCAAGTGGATTTGTGATTTGGGTGGTGAAAAGGAAATGGACAGATCTAGAGTTAGAGTTGAAGTTCTGCAGGTGGATTTGATGGAAGGTATGAATGGATTTGGGTTTTTTGATTTTCTGGGTAAGAAAATTGGGAAAGAGAGAAGGATGAGGAGACAGAGAAGGGTGGTTCGCCATGGGTCATGGGTTAGGATATGGGTTGGGTTAGAGTTATAATGATGTCAGGTTGTGATGATGTGGCGGGTTGGGTTGGTTTTTTCGGGTTAAATTTGGCTGATTAAGCGATTCTGTTTGCTATGTCAGCACTTCATGGACTTTATTAACGGAGTTGGACGGAGACCAACAGAGAGTGACCAAACGTGGATTGTTTTACTAATTCGAGTGACCAACATTGATATTAATTTTTTTTCAGTTACTAAACATGACACATTTTAATAATCCCAGTGACCAAACATGGCATTTACCCTCTATCCTTCATTATAGTTTTATGCAGCTTTGTTCCTTTTGCTTAGTCCTTTTTCTCCACCTGGTGACCTGGGTTAGTCAAACCTCTTGTTCAAACACATTTCAGCTTTAACCATATAACACGCATCTCTCGACTCTCTCCCTCGCGCGCTCTCTCTCTCTCTCCACTTCTTCTTTCCACCTATGTTGTCTCTCTGTCCTCGCCCTGTCGGGGACTTTCATGGAAGAGCTTCAGCCAGATACCGGCGGGAGAGAAGAGAAGAAGAATAGTCAGAAGCTGGGAAAGAGCAATAGCGGAGCGATGGTACAGGTACTGCCCACCACCACCAAGGCCTCCGAGATTGCTTGTTGTCCCGTCCATGGTGAATCACGAGGTGAAGCAGGCGACAATCGCCGTCGACTTAAACGTCCAGCTGAGATCCGCCGACATGCCAGGGACGATGTAGGAGCGCGCCTTTTGGTCTACCAGTATCAACCTTTTAGGGTTGGAGAGGAAAAGAGCTTAGTTTGTTTCATTGATCTACAACTTATATAGCTGTCTAATTTGCTTGTACAGACAGATGGGGGAAGAAGACAATGCTTGTGCTTTAAGCAAGTACATGACTAAAACGGAAAGAAACCAAATTACAAACATTAGGGACTAATTGGAACTTTGCCAGAAACGACATCACTCCACCTTCTGTGTTTACTCGTGGGAACGACGTTGTTGGCAACGGTCGACTCTTCCTTTTGAACTTGAGTTGAATCCCGCGAAGAAATCTGGTTCTTCCCTGATACCCCCCCCCCCCCCCCCCCCCCCCCCCCCCCCCGCGCGCAAGCTGGAGGGCACAAATTATGGACGCCAAGCTTGGAGAAGATGTTTTTGAAGGTTGCTGGTGGTAATGGCTTCATGAGGATGTCAGGCAGCTGATGGAGTGATGAGACATGAAGGATTTTGATCATCCCTGCAAGAAGTTTCTCACGAACGAAGTGGCAATCGAGTTCGATATGCTTCGTTCGTTCGTGAAAAGTTGGATTTTCGGCGATGTAGATCGCAGAGTGGTTGTCGCAGAACAGGGTTGCCGGTTGGTTGTAAGGAATGTAGAAGTCTTGGAGGAGATAAAGCAACCTTGGAATCTCGCATGTGGTAAAGGTGAGTACCCTGTAGTGGTGGTGGTGGGGAAGGTGATAATGTTGGTGAAGTAGGATGGGAGGAAGAGGATGGTGAGTGTGAATTATCATCATCAGACTCAACCTGGAGGTCTAGAAACTGGTGTTCTGGAGTAGAAGATGGTGAGGGTGTTGGTTGATAGAGGGGGCTAAAGTCTTCAAACAGGGTTGGGTCAAGAGAAGTGGGGAATGGGTTGTTGGTGGAGGGAGGTGAGGCTTGTGTTTTGAATCGGAAGTGTGTTTCATAGAAATGAACATCTCTGGATGTGAAAACAGTGTTGTTGATCAGGTCATAGAGTTTGTAGCCCTTGGTACCTGGAGTATAGCCTATGAACACACACTTCCTAGACCTAGGGTCAAATTTAGTTTTGTGATTTGTGAGGGTAGTGGCATAGCATAGTGAACCAAAAACCTTAAGGTCTGTAAGGTCTGGTGGTCTGTGAAAAAGTTTTTGGAAGGGAGTTTGGTTCCCCAGAACAATTGTAGGAACTCTGTTTATAAGGTAAACTGCATGCTTGACAGAATCAGACCAAAAACCAGTTGGTAGATTTGACTGGAATTTAAGAGCCCTAGCAACAGTTAGGATGTGTTGGTGTTTTCTCTCCACTTTGCTATTTTGTTGGGGTGTTTTAACACAGGATTGTTCATGAATGATTCCAGTGTTGTTGAAAAAATCATGCATTTGGAATTCTTTGCCTTGGTCACTCCTGATTCTCTTAACTGTGGTTTGAAATTGTCTTTCAACATGGTTGCAAAAATGTTGAAGTTTTTTTCTGGTTTCTGATTTTGCTTGCAGAAGGATAATCCATGTCATTCTAGTAAAATCATCAACTATAGTTAAAAGAAGTATCTGAATCCATCATGACTAGGGACAGAGTTTGGACCCCAAAGATCTACATGAATAAGATCAAAAGCTTGTGTGCAAACTGTGTTGCTATAGGGGAAGGGAAGTCTTTTCTGTCTAGCAAAATGACAAGTATCACAAGGGATAGATGCATTTGTATCTATGGATGTACAGATTTTCCTCAAATGAGGGACTTTGGAATGGGAAATATGGACTAGTCTGTAGTACCATAAGTCAAAAGATGGTGGAGTGGCTGCAGCAAAAGGGGTGGGGGGTTGGCAATGAGGGTGCTATCAAAGAGGTACAGGCCATGGGTGAGCTTAGCAGAACCAATCATCCTCTTCAACTGCAAATCCTGTATTAGACAGACAGTGGATAAAAAAGTTAAGTGGAGTGAGGGGTTTGTGGTCAGTTTGCTCACAGAGATGAGATTGAAGTTGAATCTGGGAACAAATAAGACATTTTGAAGGGGAAGATTGGCAATGCAGTTGATTGTGCCAACATGAGTAGCTACAACTTGATCTCCAGTAGGTAAGGTTATGGGAATGTAGGAGATTTGTCTTGGCTGGACCAGGTACTTTAGAGAACACACAATGTGGTCTGAAGCACCTGTGTCAAGTATCCAAGCATGATGATCAGAGGAATCATTAGAAGCAGTTAAGGTAAATTTACTTGAAGTGATTGAGTTAGGGGTGGTCCATGTAGAAGCAGAGAAAGAAGGGCTTGAACTGTGCTGAACCTTACCCATTTCCTTTTCCTTCATGATGTGGATGAACTTGTCATATTCAGCCTTGGTGAATCTGACTTCATCATTGTCTGTTGTTGTGCTTGATGCATTAACATATACTTTGCCTTTGTAGCCAGGTCTCTGAGGATAACCATGCTTTTGGAAGCATTTGTCTTCTGTGTGTCCTTGCTTCTTGCAATGAGTGCATTCCAATTGTCTGTGAGTAGTTGGAGCCTTAGGATTACTTAGACCACGAGGCCATCCATGCTTATGATAGCAGGTGTCCTCTATATGCCCTGTGAACTTGCAAAAGATGCAGTAGGGTCGTGGTTTTCTGCCAAGATAGTTATGATTGCCTTGAACAGCAAAGGCCATCCCTTCAGATGTGGGGTTTTTCCCTGATTGAGAGCCTGATAGCTGCCTCTCGTGTTGCAACATTCGTTGAAACTTGAAACACACGATCAATTGTTGGTAAAGTGTCACCAAACAGCACCTGTGACCTTACACTTGTGAAGTTGTCATTCAGGCCTCTTAAGAATTGGATTACATAGTTTGTGTCTATGTACCCTAGAACCAATTGCATAGCTCTACAAGTATTGTGGTTGTTGGTAGTGCACATACAAGGTTTTATGGGCTGGTAATTGTCAAGTTCATCCCTTAGGGCTGTGAGGTTTCCATAGTACTTAGTGACAGACAAGTTACCTTGTTTTAGGTTGCAGATTCACTCAATGATTTCAACCATTCTGACCATGTCACCTTGGCCATACCTGTCACGCAGGCTCCTCCAAGCTTCCATGGCTGTTTTGCAGGACATGATTGTCTTTCGAATGCCAGGATCCACAGCTTGCTGAATCCAGGAGAGGACCATGATGTTGTTTCTGGTCCATGCCCAAGCTGTGGCATGCCCTTGGCCTGGATCTGGAATGGAACCATTGTACAAAGCCCAGTTTGTTCTTTGCACCCAGAGCATTGTGGAAGGCTTTGCTCCATTCGTTGTAGTTAATGGGGGTGAACTTTTCAGCAACGAGCTGGAGACCAGGTTGCTTAGAACCATGGAGGTAGAAGGGGCTAGACATTGGATCGACATTGGTGGGGATAGAGGGTGATGCTTCTGTTGTTGTTGCAGATTGTGTTGCAGCAACCATTTTTATGGATTGTGGCGGCTAGGGTTGAGGCTATGATACCATATCAACCTTTTAGGGTTGGAGAGGAAAAGAACTTAGTTTGTTTCATTGATCTACAACTTATATAGCTGTCTAGTTTGCTTGTACAAACAGATTGGGGAAGAAGACAATGCTTGTGCTTCAAGCAAGTACATGACTAAAATGGAAAGAAACCAAATTACAAACATCAGGGACTAATTGGAACTTTGCCAGAAACGACTTCACTCCAGCTTCTGTGTTTACTCGTGGGAACGGCGTCATTGGCAACAGTCGACTCTTCCTTTTGAACTTGAGTTGAATCCCGCGAAGAACTCTAATTCTTCCCTGATACCAGATCTTTTCTCGATGCTAATTGCCACGATAAACGCCCCAACCCCACTCGCCTCGCCATGTGTTTGAAAAAGGTCCATGAGGAAGTTTCTAAAACTAAGTTGCTTCCTCTGTTTTACCCACTGAATCTTTACTATTCTTTCTGCTTTTAGCCCCAACCCCACTCGCCTCGCCATGTGTTTGAAAAAGGTCCATGAGGAAGTTTCTAAAACTAAGTTGCTTCCTCTGTTTTTGTTTTACCCACTGAATCTTTACTATTCTTTCTGCTTTTAGCCAACAACCGCACTGGAAGACTTTTGTTGTCTAATTAAGCTCCATTGACTTAGACTGGCTATAGTTTTAGTCAGGGGCTGAGCCAGGATTCGAGCTTCGGGGGCCAAAAATGTTTATCCGTAAGAGGCAAAAAAAAACACAAAAATATAATACCAACTTTAAAAAGAGTACTTTTAATCATCAAAATCGCCCAAGACACTTTTTAAGACAATTAGATGACGAATAAACTATCATGTCATTTTGACTATAAATGATTTAATTACCAACAAATAATAATACATTCCAATGCCTAACATGTTTCATGATTTTTATAGCTGAAAAATCAATGTGTACAATCTATTACAAAAAAAAATTTAATCATTGTATATTCAAAAGAGTCCTTAAAACATGTAATGCAAAATTTACACCATTTTCTAGAGCTAAAAATGAATGCCTACGGCTACCAACATTCCCTCAAGTACTTTTTTAAAGGTAAAAATATGTCTGCCATGATCGAACCAACATTTCCTCAACCGTATAAGATTACCCTTCCGTTAGGCTGCACTAGTAAATGTGAAATGATTTGCAACTACTTCTTTATGGTTTATACTCTGTTTATACGTAATTTTCAAGAATCACGAAGAACTTACACGTAACTCTCGAAATTCTCGGGGCGCATTGTGTTGATAATTTGGAAGCAGAGATATAATTTCAGTGTTTGATTTGACTGTTTTTGTGGGGTGATCAGGAGTTTGATGGAGCGTACGGGCCGGCTTGGCACTGCATTAGCAGGGAAGAGTTTCCGGTCGTTTGTAACCCATGCCAACGGCGGGTTTGTGTATTTCTCGGTGGATAACCTCTGTTTTCTTCTGTTCAAGACGGAGGTCCGGCCGCTGATCAAACCCAAGCCCCCTCGACTACTCAAGCTCACCATCAACGAATGACCCATAGAAGTCCGTTTTGTAGCTGTGCTTCGTAATTCTTATTGAAAAAGGGGTAATCTTGGAGAGGAAAAACAGAAAGCAATCTGTCTCTGGTTTGGTTTTTGGGAACTTCGGGTCACTCCAGCATGCCAGTTACAAAGTTTAAAACTTCTACTGTATAAATGTGGTTTTTGGTTATTGTCTTCAGGATCGAGGAAATAGAATTCAATGGTGGTCCAGAACCAAGTTTTTGCTTGTAGGGAACTTGTTTGTTGCCTGATTCAAAACAAACTTTTCTGCAATCTGCAGTGTTCTTGAGGAAAAGCTGCAGACTTTGACATGTGGGTTATTCTAATGTAGTTACTGTCCATGCAAGGAATGTTTTATCATGTAGCTAGGCAGTACTAAAGTTTGATTCGTTAGTTTCATCTTCAACTCCTTGGGCCCGCTTATATCTGTTCTGAAAAGAATGCATGCTGCTATTAACGGCCCAAAAGCAGAGCACCGCCGATGGATTATGGAAAACCACCATCTGGGCTCTGTCACAAAGCAAAATTTGGCAGTTACATTTTCAAATTACAGAGCCTCTTGGAGCCAAAAGTCGCAACTCCTTCAACGTTTATAAATACATGGAAGATTCTCGTGCTTATCTCTTCCCCGTGATCATAACGCATCACTGTGTCCTGTTTTCTGCCTGCAATCACCATAACTAACTGCTCTGCAAAGTCAGAAAAGAAACTGCCATTGTAGCACGATTCAGCGTTGTTCGCGTTCTCATGTTGACCAGGAAAATGCCTCATCTCTCCCTCTCCTCCCGATTCCAGCAATCCATCGCGCCAGATGCTCTCCGATCGTATCTCGCAGAATTCATCTCCACTTTCTTCTTCGTGTTCTCTGTCGTCGGCTCTTCCATGGCTTCCAGTGAGTCTAAACCGTTCTTCTCTATTTCCCTTTTTCAATTGAAAACCAGATTTCTTCAACTGGGTTCTGATTATGGTCTAATCTTTGGTATTGTAAAAAAAAAAAAAAATCCCAGAGAAACTGACACCTGAAGCAGCGGGCGACACATCCGGCCTAATAACAGTAGCCATCGCCAATGCCTTCGCCCTCTCCTCCGCCGTCTACATCGCCGCAGGAGTTTCCGGAGGACACGTCAACCCCGCCGTCACGTTTGGAATGGCCGTCGGCGGCCACATCAGCGTCCCTACCGCACTCTTCTACTGGCTGTCTCAGATGCTGGCCTCCGTCTTCGCTTCTCTCATTCTCCGAGTCATGACTGTTTCTCAAGTAATCCCATCAGTTTCATTCCAATTACCAATAGTACCTTTTGGTATCCATCGATTTCAGGTTTTGGCCTAATTAGACATTTCTCTGTTTTTCACAGCGTGTTCCGGCGTACGCGATTGCAGAAGAAATGACCGGATTTGGGGCTTCGATGCTGGAAGGGCTTTTGACATTTGTGTTGGTGTACACGGTCTACGCTTGCAGTGACCCGAGACGTGGGCCGTTCGGGGCGATTGGGCCGCTGGTGATTGGGCTCACGGCTGGAGCGGGTGTGTTGGCGGCGGGGCCGTTCTCCGGAGGGTCGATGAACCCGGCTTGTGCTTTTGGGTCGGCGGTCATTGCCGGGAAGTTCAAGAACCAGGCGGTTTACTGGGTCGGGCCGTTGATCGGAGCGGCGGTTGCGGGGCTTGTTTATGACAATGTTGTTTTCCCTCCCGATGATGCTGCTGATTCCATTAGAGGGGTTTCCGATGGTGATGGAGTTTGATTTCAGATAGTGACATTTTCTTTGTAATTCTGCTGGACCTGTTTGTAATAATTTCCCGGTTCTTATGTTGTTTTAGGACTTTTTCCCCTTGTTCATGTTTGTAATTATTCGACTGAATTGCATTAAGCCATTAACGGTGTGACTTGACTAAACAATGTTATAGTTGGTATTGTTTTATTCATGCTAGAGAAGCCCGCTCGCTGTGCTTCGGGGCGAGGAAGCAATATAAATGTTGGTATGTGATTGTAAGAGAATAAACTAACATATAAGAAATACTAACTCAAGAAACTGAAAGTCTAAATCTTATTTGATGATATACCCAAGATTTTCAACTAAGATGGTAAATAGAAGAGAAATAGGTGATATGAAAATCAACAAATTGCAAAGGAAAAATACGAAAAGAAGGAAGAACTTAGTAACTCGTTCTGTTGATTCTGATGTCACTTTTGTACTTTTTGATTGAGAGTGAGAAATTTCAATGTTAACTTTTTATTAGACCTTGAGTCAGAGAAATGAGTACAAATGCATAACCAAATACGAAATTCGATCCCGAGCGATTTCATTGATTCCAATTCCACTTCGTACTTTTTGCTTGTGTGATATATCATTGATAACCTTCTATTCGACCTAAAGCGAGAGATGAGTAAAAATGCATAACTAAATACGAAAGTCAGTCTTGAGCTATTTCATTGGTTTTGATGTCTCTTTCGACTTTCGATTGAGAGAGTGATTTCATCGTTAACTTTCTATTCAACATCGAGTGAGAGAGATTAGTAAAAATGCATAATCAAGAACAAAAGTCGGTCTCTAACCAAATACGAAAGTAGGTCTCGAGCTATTTCATTGATTCCGTTGCCTCTTTCGACTTTCGACTTTCGATGAGAGTGAGTGATTTCATCGTTAAATTTCTATTCAACATCTAGTGAGAGAGATGAGTAAAATGTATAACCAAATACGAAAGTCGGTTTTGAACAATTTCATCGATTTCGTGAGATTAAGAATACAAAAACAAATATGAAAGTTAATCGATTTTAGCACAACAAACAATAATATAAAAGGAATTGGGGGAGAGATTAATGAGGGAGAAAATAATAAAAAATGGTAAAAGGAGAAGACAAAGAAACCAATAATAAAATAAAATAAAACTCATAGCTAATGCCCTTTATTCTTGCCATGTGTCATCCCTCAACTATACCCCTAAAGTTGATGTTAATTACGAATTAACCGTTTAATGAATAGTAACTTGGAAACCAACTTTTTTATAATAGAAATTCCTGAATTAAGAATACAAAAGCAAATACGAAAGTTAATCGGTTTTAGCACAAGAAACAATAATATAAAAGGAATAGGGGGAGAGATTAATGAGGGAGAAAATAATAAAAATGGTAAATGGAGAAGAAAAAGAAACCAATAATAAAATTGAAAAAACTCATAGCTAATGCCCTTTCTTCTTGCCATGTGTCATTCCTCAACTATATCCTTAAAGTTGATGTTAATTACGAATTAACAGTAACTTGGAAACCATCCTTTTTATAATAGAATGTATGTATATTTACTAAAGTGTACATATTCCTCGTGTAAAATCATGAATGACATATAAGAGGTTTAAGACGATTTACACATGATTTCTTAAGGAGGAAGCTTAGAAAACTTTGTCGAGTCATTTGATCCTTTTATCCTTAGTTCAAATTCAAAGCAGCTTAATAGTATGATTGCACATATCTTTGTTGTAATGGTCGTTAAGCCAATTAAATAGTGTATTGCAGACAACTAATAAACCCTTATGTTGGGATATGTATTAATTTGCATAATGCGATAAGCTACTACATCGTCGATGGCCTAAGTTCAGGTCCTTAAACCCTTTTTCTTAAGGAAGATCTTAAAGCATTGTGATTGGCTAATTCAATTTTAGGTAGTTAGTGAAGAGTTATTAGTTAAATAGTTGTTAGGGTTATTAAGGGAATTACAATTAAATTAAAAAACGTAACCCTACTGATGTATATTCCCACGTATCGTCTTTATCTTTTTCCTTCCGCAAGCATCTGAACTGTTTCTCTGTCAAATCAAAACACCTTCTTCGACCGTCTCTCTCGCTGAGTTCTCTGGTCGGCGATTCTGCTCCCGCAAGCGTTCTCCGTCGACGACAGCCAGCTCCCTTTGTCGTCGTCGTTCCAGTCCACCAACGCCGAAACCTAGCTTCCGTTGCCGCCGCTGGTCCAACTTCCCTCCCGCTGAGCTCTCCGGCCCAGTCCACCAACGACCTACTTCTCTCGTTAGCATCGCCATCACTTCCGTCTCCAACAACAATCCCCAGCTTCCGACCCTCAACGGTTGTCGTCGTCTTCCTGCCGAGCGTAGCTTACCTTCGGCGTAGGTCTTACCCGGCGTTGCCTCCCTTCGCAGTCGCTACATTATTAACATTTTAAGTCTCGTTATTATCATTTTAACCTACATTATTAACATGTTATTAACATTTTAACAAATAATTAGTTACACTTTCAATAATATATAGCTATATTATTAACATTTTAACTTTTGTTATATAGAGATAGTTTCATTATAACTTACGTTATTATTTATTAACAATTTAAACTACGTTATTACCATTCTGGCCCATGTTATTAACATTTTAACCCACGTAATTAAAAAAGAGCTTTTTCATTTTAATCTATGTTATTAATATTTTAAGCTACCTTATTATCATTTTAGCCAACATTATTAACATGTTAACATTCATTACCAATCTTTTCCCTTACGTTATTATCATATTAACCCACGTTATTAACACTTTCACAAATTATTGTAACACTTTCAACATCTATTAAACTACATTATTAACAATACAAATTCTTTCCATTTTATTCTACGTTATTAACATTTTAAGATACATTATTATCATTTTAACCAAAGGTATCAACATTTTGTTGTCACTCTAACTTACATTATTAACATTGGTTATCTATCTTTAGCCTTACGTTATTAACATTATAAGCAAATTTATTGTCATCACCACCCATCACGCAGACGGGAAGCCGGTGGCAACGTAGACAAGAATCTGACGAGAAGATGGTCGCGACGGGGGAAACAACAACGACCAGGCAGCTGTGATGGCGGGTTTGCAGACGGAACGACGACGTGATCGCGACTTGACGACGAGGAGGTTGCAGATGAGGAAACCAAAACTGATGCAGCCGTGACTTGGCGACGACATGACGCAGCCGTGATGCAGTGGCTCTGATGCCGGGATTGC